CCGGGGAGGATAGCCCCTCCAGTACAAGATATGGTGGTCTGATTCGTCTGAAGAGGTGCACAAATCGAGATGAGGATCGGTATGGACTTGTCTGGAGGTTGTTGGTTCTGCGCGCGTGGGTCTTTAGGTCAGCCTCCTCATGCATCTCTCCACTGAGCCGGCACGCCACACCACAGAAAAAGCGTAAAATATATGAACATGTATATACCAAAATCACTGTTGAGAAAGCTCATCGAAGAGATGAATGGTACTGACCTAAAGTCCCACGTGCCAGCCCGAAATTTGCACGCACCCTCCATACCGACCCTCATCTCGATTTGATACTCGACGATCATCGTAGTCGACGCCAGCCATCGTCTCGCATGGAGGGACTTATCCTCCCCGTGCGTGGACAGTCGACCATACACCGTTCCGAGCGACTGGCACAGAGACGATGTAAAAAGCGCGATGTGGACGAACGACTCGCCTACTAAGCGCGAGAAAGGGGTGTCAAAGCTGACCTCTCCTTCAGTCTAAAGCTGATGGCCTCTCCATTCGCGTACACGATGTCGGAACGTGGGTTGTTGAGGGTGAGCAGAAGAGTGGTGCGAAGGATATTCGACGAATCACGAGTGAATTTGGTGTAGACGCGAGAGGCCATGGCGCACGGAGGTTCCACGACCCCTCCCAATCAGCATACACCGTCTCTCCACGAGACCTGCCACTCGTAAATCCACCAACAACGCCTCTCTCTCAGGATTGGTGCATCTCCGACGTCTTCCACGCACTTGGGCGACTGGCAGCTTTCCCCTCTCCTCCGTTCGATTTGGTGTTGGGAATTTGGAGAGGATCATTGAATCGCGCTGTTGATTATGACGATAGGGTGCAGGGGGCTGGTTTGTGGAACAGGGTAAGCTGGAATGAGAGTGCATACACGCGTGAGGTTTGTGCTGAGAGAGAGAATGGAACGGGTGAAGGTGAATCGCCTAATCAGGTCTTTTCATTTCGTTGTATACAGCGCCTGCAGGGAAGGTCTCTCCGTGACCGTCCATCTTTATACCTCATAACTCTCCTCGTGCACCTGAAGCTGATATCAGAAAAAAAGTCAGAGTAAGCTCACAGGAGAGACAAAGAGTACCAGTACTGACCTAAAGTCCTGCCAGCCCGAAACCAGCATCCTACCTCCAGAGTCCGAGTCCACAACGACCTTCAGCAGCGTACACAGTCGACGCCAGCCATCCTTCAGCGCTAGCATCGGCAGTAAAATGAGTGGGGCTAGCGTTCATTCATTAGTGCTCCCTTCAAACCTCCGAGTCAAACACACGCACCTTGCACGGACATCTTCAGAATCCTACTCCGTTATCACGGCGCACTCCCGATATCTGACGCTGGCAGAAAACAGAGCGACGCCTCTGCTACGAACAGGAAGCCATACAAGAACGAACGTATCGTCTCCCGTTTGAGCGACTGGCACAGAGACGCTGTAAATAGCAACGTCGTCCCCAGGAAAACTGCACGAACCCAACTTGGCGCCGAAGGAGGGATACGAATGGCGCTCGCCTAGCGCAGGAAAGGGATGTTGAAACTGCGCTCCTGTTCGTCTAAACGACTCTCGAAGCCAAAGACCCCTCTCAGAGCATGCTCAGCCATGACGCGACGCACAGAGACTCCACGCCCAGTCCAAATTTATCCAATTCTCTTCTCTCTTCCAGGCCACCCATACGTCGTCTAGCTCGCGTGTTCATCAACTGCTTTTCTCCAAAATCGATGCTTGTCGTGCTCTGGCATGCTGGTTTTTTGGATCCTTCCTCTCGGTACAGTTCGTCCCTCTTTGGCATCCGAGTCTTGTCAACGTTGGTGCTGAAATCGTGGTGGTGTCACAGGCTGGTTGATGAACGTAACGGGGCAGAAGTGAAAGAGACGCGATGTGACTACCATTTTGGGAACTCATCTCGTTCCTCCGCCTCGACGTCATCGCGCACCACTCTCCCCTGCTATCTTCTGACCCTACCATCCTCAAAACACCACCCACTCGATGTATGCTTTAATAGTGGGACCCGGCATTGCAGTTGGGCTATCTGGATCCAGTTTGTGGTCGGACGAACACGTACTCCGTCCTCTAAATGTCGATGACCGCCACTTGCTCTCGATAACACGCATCCAGACCTTGTCCATAGCGTGGTTTGCAGGCCGTGAATCAGGATTCAGGATCCCGTACTAGTCGGTCACCCTCTGGAAGACATGCGACCGTCCAGATCAACCTCGGTGACGTGATCATGGCGTAGGGTGCTCTGAGTCGTGCGTGCACGCGACTCGGCACAGGACTAATGAGCAAACGCTAGCTACTACCAATGCCCGGTACCAATGACACTGCTTGGATGGTGAGATGGCTCCAATACCCAGAGGACAAGGAGCTTAACAACACGATGGTCCACGAGAGAATGCATGGTTGGGAGGGAAAGCCAGTTGTGCAGTTGAGAGAGTAGCGTGTTTAACTTTAGAGCACCCAATGCACTGTGTCGTCCGGGATCAATCACTGTCGTGTCATTGCATGTCCGAAGTTTCATTCTCACCTCATCAACATTGGTGACCCGGGAACTCATGCTCACCGTACACGATGAGGAGATGCTCGCTATCATCCCAGCCCCGTTTCGCAGCTGATACCCCTTCTCTTTTGGTTCAAGACTTCGCTCTATGGGTAGTCAGAGGAGATAGAATCTCCATGTGAGTATATCGTTCTCCACTTGTTGGATTAGACAGACGGGACCGTTACTAGCTAACACCGTAGATTCTTCGCCTTCCCTCCTTTCTCTCCAGCCTAGGTCCAAAATAGTAATCGGACTCGGAGTCTGGACAAATACGTTCTGAGCGGAAGTCGAACCCACATGTTCCTGCATCAATCAACAGAGCAGGGAGGAAAGGAGTTGGGAGGTACGCTCCATTCGACTTGACTCTGCAATGTGATTCACAGGTTCCCATGCAGGAGACCCCATATACGTCACTTGCCCAAATTCATCTCACGGACGCATTGAAAGAGAGGTTCATGCTCAAGGTTTGATATGATATCTTGACCTGCACGAGAAGAAGAAAAGAGCGTGTTTTGTGAACTCTATCGCTGCTTGTGCTCGTTTATCGTTTGCATAGGATCGCGGCCTTGTGAGTCCAATTTTAAGAAAAAGACGTTCGCTCACACATGGAGAGATGATGTGTATCTTGACGGTGGGAACCTGGCGTCGCAATTGGGCTATTTTGAATTCTCTCCTGCCACCCTCCAAGTCGATAACACGCGTTCCTCGTCCTTGTGATAAAGAGGAGCGGGCAGTTCTCATCTTCATGTAGTCGCTGTTCAGTGTTCGTCAAGATTCCGCCGACTTCAGTTCAACATGCAGTTTTCGTTCGAAATAACATTATCTTTGTATTGATTGCTTGCCTTCTGGAAGGATGTGTGGCCAGAGGATTGGAAAGAGTTGCGTGGAGACATACCTGAGTCAGTATTCGTCGTCTCTCCTTGATGAACCTATTCTGACCTTTTTTTCGCTATCAGGATGGGTTCTCGCGCGTGCATCTCTACGTTCTCACCACATGGAGAGTAATAGCAGAGGTTTATGCCGACTCGGGCCGCAACGGCTTACCTACCAGAAGGTGTCCTGAAATTTAATTTACGTGGTGCCATTTCTCCACATTGATATCATTTCACAGGTGGATGGGAAACGATTTAGGACTCAGTATATCTTACTGTCTTATTCTCTGACTTGGGGGTCGAACCTAGTATACATACGCATCAACGAGTGATGTTGGAAGGCTAGGGATATAAGACAGGTCGATGGTAAGTTTCTCACCTTGTTCATTTAAACAAACGGACGACAAAACGCACTAGCTGATCCTCATGCTTCTGCCGAAGCAAGAGGCAAAACACAAACAAGATTTCATCTGCTATTGTCTTTCATCGGGAATTGAACCCGGACCGAACCTGTATAATGGGTACTCCAAGCTGAGACACGAGTTGCAAGTGTACCAGCTAGGGGAAAGGTACTGGACAGGGGATACTTGGCTTTCTTCCTGCTTGGGCTGGAACCGAACGTCGACCAGTTACCTCTCGCGCGTGTTGAGAGACAAAAGCAAAAATTCCCACACACGTACGTTTAATTCTCTGACAGGGAGTCAAACCCTCTCGTACCCGCACCCATAATCCAGCCACATAGGAAAACTTTGCTAGCTCTGTTCGTCAGCCAACGCTCCCTGACTCGCTTATCTCTGAATCTATGATGTTGAACAAAGCGTGAATGCGTGGAGTTTGGGGGGACAAGGGCCCTGAGAGAGAGACACGGCCCACCGTTCACGGGTGAAGAAGGGTAATGGCCTGACTCAACTTCCTTCATTCGGCTATGGTGTACAGGGAAATGATGTACTTTGCCTCGTTAAAGACGCAACATCGGCTTTCATAACTCTCTTCATCGTGCTGATACCAGATAAAAGTCAGAATAAGCTCATCGGACATATGAAGGGTACTGACCTCGACAAGCCCAGCGCATACGGAATCATCGACCAAAACAAGCAGGCTACCCTCAGAACCCAAGCCCATTCCGATCTTCATCTCAATTCAAGCATACACTACTCGACGGCCTTGCTCGTTTATCGACATCGGCAAGGTACATAGTCGGCGCCAGCCATCCTTTGAACTGGCATAAAAATGTGTCGAGCTAGCACTCATTAGCGCTCTCTTCATACCCGCCGAGTTAAAAACGCGTACCTTGCGGTGAAAACAGTCCTGCGATCGGGGTCCTGTCCGGTTAGCCAAATTCATCCAGAAGGACGACACAGTCTCCAGCAAAAACAGCTGCTATAGACGATACCGATAGCCAGTCTGCATGAGCGGTGCTTTCAGGATAGTAGGGCTGAGGGAGAGTGGCCAGTGAAGCTAAGGATCACGTTGAGGCGGAGGAACGAGCCGAGTTCCCAAAATGGCAGTCACGTCGCGTCTCTTTCACCCGCATGTCACTCAACCACCCGTTGATACCATTATGATTTTGGCTCTAGCGTTCATATAAGATATCAAGCAGGGACGAACTCCTATCGCGAAGACGGTCTCGCCTTCAATAACCCACGTTTCCCAACCTGTCCTGTCAGAAAAGTGTATTTTCTCCAGTAGTTATAGTGGAACTGAAAATACATTTTCTCCAGTAACTATAGGGCTGCCTTTCTAGTCACAGCCGGTGATAGGACCCACGTGCATCGTCTCTTGATTACTTTTTCCCGTGCTTCCCGTTCCCTTTCGCAAAATCTGATCCCATCCCATGGTTCGTATAAAAATAATATTACAAGTAGATACATAGAGTAAAGGAATATATTTAGTCATTCGATATGTAGATAAAATATGACACCGGTGGGCGGGCGATATTGACGGCGGTGATCGGGAGGCATGGCCAAAAAAGGGGATCATTGCACTGCCGTAGTGGCTGATACAAGCAGGAAACATCGGGTGCCGGGATAGGGAGCGGGCGTGCGGCAGCTACCATGTCGATCGGCAGGGGCTTCCGTGATCGTGCAACCATGAATTCAGGCACGTCTGTTACGGTCTCAGGTACCCTTTCAATGGCCAAAAAGACGTGCTTTCCATTGTCGTCACCCGCCATCCGCATCCCGACCTCCCTCGCACCCTCCCGCCCTTCTGCACCTCTCCAATACACTTTATCCCCCTCCATCCCTTGGCCGCCATTTTTCGTGACTATGCTTCTAAAGACCTCCACCCTCACGCCGTTGCTGTTACCTCCCTGGCCGCCACCGCCATCGTCGTCCCGCATATGGTGAGGGAAAGAAGCGGAAAAAGAAGTGGCACAGCCACTCGATCACTCTGCGGTTTCACGGACCGGAGCGATTGAGCGAGTGGAATGAATACCGGGGATGCATCCTCTGCTCCATTCCTGCATCCCGAATGCCCGAGAATCATCGGAATGTAATGCTATTGTATTATACAGTATATTTATATACTTTCCTATATATTAAATAAATCCCAGCATTGATTAATATGCATTTTACGGTTGAAAAACTGCATTTTGGTTCATTTGCTAGCATATACTCATTGTATGCTGTTCTATACACCATAGAAAAGAATATGATGGGCTGCATATGCGAGATTATGTAGTATACTATCCAAACAAAGTGTCTGATCCATGGCGATCTTTTCGTAGAAACATCGTTACTCACTTCATTGCTTAGAAGAACTGTTAGAAATCCGCCCTCAGTGCACTTTCGTCTGACCAAAATAAAATTGTATCACGGCTTCAGGGCAGGTACATTTTCAGACATATACTACTCAGAATAGATGAAATCCATGGTTTTATTGACTCTGTATTCTCATTTGAATGTGTACTATGGGATAAAGGATGCAGAGTACTTGCATTTGATACCATAATTCATATTTATCTACAAATCAGCTAGAATGTATGGATAACTAAGCTATACATGATACATAAATGCCAATAGACACTATATATTTGATTTTAGAGGGATGGAAGAGCCTCATAACTGTACAATTGCGATCCATTGCTTGCTGCAGTCAATTTAGGGGTTGTCCGGCAAATTCCGGAAATCCACTCGAAATGTTCTTTTTTCACTAGTTCATACATGCATTAAATATAGTCATGATTGAGTCATTAGTGCACATTTTATACAAAAAAAAAACACCATATCTATCTACTATCCCCTAAATTGAATCCACTATCGGATTGGGAATGCTACTGACGTAGTTCCTGACGATCGGAGACAAAAGCAGAGCGTGATAAAAAGGGAAAGTCGAGGCACATCTATCAGGGGGCCAATGGGAGTCAAGGCGGCATACGATGGGTATACAACGGCTGAAAGTAAGTCCAAAATATATTTCGCCGAGAATATGTCAAATGTAAATAGAATTTGACAGGGCCTTATAAATTGTATTTTGACAGCTCCAGTAGTTACTGGGGAAATTGTACTTTCGGTTCCCCTGTAGTTACTGGGATAAATTGTATTAAATGGACAATACAGCCTCCGTTTCCTACCGACAACCACGTACTCGCATTTCGAATCGAACGGGACCGTCTCTTGCTTATCAAGTTCGGTGCCAAGTTGGTTTTACTAGGGACGACATTGCTTTTTGTGCCAGTCGCTCGCTTGATGGAAGAATATCCTAGAAAAATGCATCAGAGGGTGGTGTGTGTTTTGATGGTGGGACCCGGCATTGCAGTTGGACGACTTGGATCCGGTTCGCGGTTGGACGAACATACGGAATTGTACCCCCTCCTCCGAATGTAAATGTCCGCCGCTCGCTCTCGCTAACAGTGACCCGCGCCTCAGCGCTGCTACCAACCTTGTCCATAGCGTGATTTGCAGGACGTTGCAGAGGAGCGAGTCTCTGTTCGAGTCGCTCGCCCTCAAGAATGACGTTCTCCTGCGGCCGTCCAGATCAACCTCGTCCTGCTGGGTGAAGAACACGGCGGGGTCATGGCATGGGGCATCTGTCTCCGTACGTTCATCACACTTGGAGGGTCGAAGAGAAGACTAATGAGCGATTGCTAGGTACTACCAATGCCCAAAGTACGACTTTCCCTCCCAGTCCCTGGTCCAATGCCATCGGATAGTGCATACGCAGAAGAGTGGAAATGGTTCGCGTTGAGGAACAAAACGGAATGGAGACATACTAGGGTGAGTACGCTTCCGTCTCTGGATGACTTGCTAACCTTCTTTGCTATCAGGGGGGTAGTCGTGTACCATTACGTTCTCATTATGCGATGCCACGCAGAAAGATGCGCACCAAAGAGGGGGTAGGGTAATAGTAGTATAGTTTACGCCGAATCGGCGAATTACCTACCAGGCAGGCGTTCTAATCTACATCGTGCCATCTCTCCGTTCTACGGGTGGACAAGAAACCATTGTCCCGGGACGACGGACTCATCGACATGCGCAAGGGGAAAAAAGCTACGTCTAGACTTCGTACCTTCTCTTATTCTCTGGCTGGGGATCGAACCCAGCATACGCATGCGCATTAACGAGTGCTTCATCAGAGTAATGTTGGAATCCAGAGTATGATCGTAATATACTATGCCGCCGGCAGTAGGTTTTCTTGTCCTGGTCATTTGCCTTTGTACGCAAGAGGACTAGCTGATCCTCGAAAGAGGAAAAAAAACTGGCACGCTTTTCTTCATCTTCATTGTCTTCCACCGGGAGTCGAACCCGAACTCAAGGTCTAAGTGTAATGTGTACTCCAAGTCGAGACACTTAAGGGATGTGTAGCTACCACTAGGTTCCCAAAGCGAGTCTTGTTTTTCCAACCCGGCTGCCTCTCTGTATTCCTCAGGGTGCGACTCGGATTGAGGGCAGCTGAGTTGCCAAGTTTGGAGTCGAACGTGTCTGACAATCCCATCCAGTCGTTTGTAGAGGTTCAGACATAGATAATGTTTGAGAGGCCTCTTTGTGTTGAACCCGTCCTGAGTCAACACTCAAGACTCAAGCTGCAAGTTAAGAAAGGTGTTACTCTTACTCCCCCCCTCCCCTCCTTCTCTGGAGATTTCGTGCGTATTGCGCAACCCTAGCGCTGCTTGGCCCCGGGCGGCCGCCCAAGTCAAGATCAAGATAATATCAAAAAGCATTATTAGTGTAGCCACCAATCTCATCTCTCTGACTGGGAGTCGAACCCAGCTTTCGCGCGACCAAATTCTAAGCACCACGAAGATGACAGGCGCGTGTACTAACCGATATACTATCAGAGATGTTATCAATAGGTTTCAATAAGATTTAGAACCCACAGATATTTCACATAATTCTTACCTTCAACTAGTGCTGCCTCCCAGCTCGGTATTTACTTCCTCAAGGGGTTAATGAAGATGTGGTAGTCCTCCATTCTCGAGAGCTTCCATGGTGGGAACAGAAACGGAAGGGCAGTCAGTGTGGTTTTCAGTTCATGGTTGGGAAAGAAGGACATTGAATACGTACTTGGCGGGTACGTGCATCTGGTTTGATAACTGGACAATTGCTGAGACTATGGAATAATAGCACCTTTTCTGTCTTCTATTCCCTCTGATCTCATGCTATTTGCCTCCATATGCCTGAAGGGAGGGAACACGTACAAATAACACCAGGACTATGATCGCGACCTCATTCCTTGTTATATGCCCTCCCTGAGCTGCCAAATCGCCATCGTCAGGAACACATGACTCCAATCATGTCAGATGGAAAGGCGACAGTTAGCACATGAACACTGCCAGAAACGCAGACTTTGTGCACGTCAGCTCAAGACGATTTTCGTTGTCGCGCTCCACTGTAGAGAAGACCAGACGTCAGCGATACCTGTTCTTTGTGTATACCCGGGCTTCTCTGCCTGTTGGTTTCTAGCCTTAGATAACAGGTGGATGTTTCCCACTTTCCATTGCTACCAGCTCAATGCCTACGGGTCGCTTCCGATGAGGAGAGGCCAGTGGGAATGTGCTGTTGAAGATGTTGCAGAAATCGGTTGTTCTGGACCAGCTAAACATAGAGTTGTCAGGCAGACGGTTTATGAAGAAGAGCAACACATGTTCATGGAAGGTAAGGTATGTGTTCCGTTGTGCGGAACGATCATTTATGGTTACTCTCGCAGCTTTTTAATACCCCGTCTTTTTCTAGATCGATGTGTGGCATTGCATACTGTAACGTGCTCCTCCCTCTCAACACCTTATCCCGGATCCTTAGTTGCAAAGCACCATCAAGCATTGGACTTTGGTATGTAGACGGCTCTGACTGCTGGCATGTTTACAATACTCGGCCGACAAAATTGGCGTTCTTCATCTAATTTAAAACTGTCTTCCATTAATTGATTTCTATTATCAGCATACAATTGTATCACCTCCTTGAGCGGTACGAACAATCTTTTCTCCTTGATGATCCACCTGGATGGAATACACGTCAACGGGGAAGGAAAGTAGACTACCCGATGCCCGCTCCCTGATTATCCTGGTCTCTTTGCTGGTTTGCGGACGTGCCAGACATCGTTTCTACTCAATGTTACTGGAACCGCACATCTGTCTTGTCTTTGCCTTTGATACTTCTCACAGGGAAGGACGAACGGCTCCGAATTTGATGGCCCTTGGTCGTTCTCTTCCACGTTCATTCCGGTTTTCCTGTTCTCCCGTAAAAGCTTGTTGGAAGTTTCTATCTTGGGAATAAGCGACTTTCGACAAGCCTGGTACGGTAAATGTTTGTTCGTGATATTAATCCATCCCCGTTACGTTGGCTGAAAGAGATAACTTGACAGAGATGACATGGAAGGAATCACCCGGTGTGCTCCTCGGTACTAACTGGTACTTTGGATCAACCACAGACCGAACTGTTAGGCGCGGATGATATACTCTGGAATGGAGGATAACAACAAGAGTACTGTGTGCCCGTGGGTGCGGTGAAGCTGACTTCTGCTATACAACTTCTCATTTCGATGTACGTGCATGCCCACATTGATTGTCTGTAAAACAAGCACCGGCTGTTTCTGCGCCGGAATCTCAAGCCGAAAAGAGGGGGGAGGCTAGAGGTCAGTGCGCTATTCTATGTTCTCACCGATCAGATGTGTAGCTGAGTCCCATCCTAGTACATCATTTCATCTTGGTTTAATTTATCAGCATATAATCGTGCCTGGACGAAAAGCCAAGTGTTCCTTTCTGAAAGATGACCTTCATCGACGCTCGAGAGCAACTGAAGGGCAAAGCGCGAACCAGAGGTAATGTGTCGTTTCCACCTGTTAGTGCGTTGTTGTATTGAAACCAAACCAATAGTTTTGAATAGTGAAGGGAGGACGACGATGTTTCGTTGCGATAAGATGAAGACAGTGGGTATTGCCTTCTCTGCTGCAATTTGTACACCAGGAACACGCAACTCACTCTTCCTGGTACCGTGACCAGCTGCCATGTGGTCTTGCTGGGAGATATCTGCTTCTTCGCGGTCCCGCAATTGAGGCTAAACCTCCCTCGAGTCTCAGCGAGTGATGATGAGAAACATCTGCGGTACCTCATGGCTCTGCAGCATGTGTTCTGTATAAGACCTTCGTGTAATGATCGGCAGATAACGGCCATCTCTTCCCTTCTTTCTCTCTCACTTCTCCTCATTCTGCATGGCTTTGACACCTGCACAAATCCCGCTTCTTGGTGCCACGTTTGGGGTAATTCTCGTCGGGGCCATTCTTTCTGCTATGTGAGCTTCAATTTCGTCAGTCGACGGCCAACTGACGAACCACGGGTGCATAGTCTGTTCGGGGTATCCAATCTTCAGTCGCTCTGGTACTTCAAGCGGTACCCAAATGACTGGTGGTTCTATCGAGTCGCTGTATGTGCTTTATATGTTTGTACTCTCAAACCAAGTCTAAGGAATTTATTGAACAGGTTGCGGTCATTTGGTTAGCCACCCAGGGTTCTAATCGATCTGCAACGTCTCCCTGATAACAAAGTACAGGGTCCTAGATACACTAGATGTCGCAATTAGCACCCACGCATTATATTTCCTTCTCGTCGAGACTCGGATAGTGGGCAGATTCCTCACTATGGATGAGCTTGAAATCATTTGGTACGCTATATGCTCGCTGTATCGTTTCATTGACTTGATCTGGCATGAAAGGAGCTGCAAGGTTTGTATTATGGTCGTTTCATTGTGGCTGGTGGTTGACTTCTCGTCAACAGTTGCATATTCTTCTTGGAGTGCGTATTCTACCATCCTAAGTGCACTAGACGAAACTAAAATGCTATACTGCTCAGACTTTTTTCAAAGTGGCCGTCCAAATGTGCGTTACTATCTAAAATCTTGGTTACTTCATTAACTTGAAGGCTCGTCCCTGGCAGTGTATATGCTGTGCGGCTTTGGAAAGGTTTTCCATTGCTTCGTTTCGCTGGCTCCTTGCTAACAGTTACCGATATCCAGTCCGACAACACTTTCACAGAGTCGTGCCCTGGTTTGTTGTACGCTCATCCTCACCAGTTGTTGGATGTTCTTTTCACGCGTCTTTCTCTTGTAGGCTCTCATCACTGCTTGCAATGCCGGTACGTGAACCTCGGATGCCTTAGTATTACTTCGTCTCTGCAGCTATCATTTTCCATTCACTTCCGTAGGAACCGGAATATGTAAGTTCGGACTTCTCTTGCTCGCCCACGAGTATCTCATATCCTCCTCATCATCAGATCTAGTTCACGGAACGTAAGTCCAAGTTTGACGCTGCTTATTTTCAAGGTCCAAGATACTTCAAACAGTTACGAGATCTCTGACTTCTCCGAAATCCCCACCATCAGAGTGCGCACATATCATTCATCATTTGACTCGTATCTTACCTGATCTAGATTCCAATCATCGTGTTGTTCTCAACGAGCACAGCAGTTGATTTTATCGTCGCCATCGCCATGTGTTACTATCTGAACAGAAGCAGGGCAGCTTCAATGTTCCCCAAGTCCGTAATCCAGCCAGTTCTTCTCTCAGGTTATGAAATTGATATCCTGTAAACTCAGCACCATTGCGATGCTGGTTGCGCTGATGCGGCTGATTTTGATATCTGGGCTGGTTACGAGGTGAATGTCAATCTTGGTACCCTTGCGACTGGCTCACAGTGGTACGCAGCATGTGCTCTACAGCCGTTCTTATAACGGTATTCCAATCACTATGTGCTATAGAATCTCAAGCTCATGGCCGACGCAGTTTCTCGTTTGGCCAAATACACTTATATTCATTGGGGTCGATTTCATGCTGCCAAGATGTCAGTCCTTCATCGCAGACCCACGAATTTGACACATTTATTGTTTGCAGTGTTTATCAACTCTTTGTTAGCAAT